TACAGTTTTCTTTTTTTTTTCCTTTTTTTCTTTTTTTTTTTTTTTTTCCATTTTTCGTTTTCCCAGAAAAGTTTGAAAGGTTTTCTATTAGATGGAGCAGTCGGTCGGGTTTTTCTTTTTAATAAAAAATTTTCCTGTAGCTAAAAAAAAAAAAAAAATTAATGGAAACGGTTTTTTTTATGTTCGAAAACGTACCGAGAATATTATTAAATATAAAAAAAATTTATGTTACCGTATTAAAAAAAAAACTTTCATTGACCCCTGACCCCTCCCCCCCCTCAAATGGGAATTTGCAATCGGTTGCAATTGAAACTCCAAACGAATAAAAAAAAAAAAAAATTTTTTTTTTTGTTTTCTTGGCAAAATTCCCTTAAATATTTTTACGTAATTAATCATTTACGTAAATTATTTTTTTAAAAAAGATAGAAAACAGATACGTCGTAAAACAGCAGCAGCAGCAGCAGCAACAACAACAACAACAACAGGAAAATAATTTTTATTCGTTTACGCGAAATAAATTTTAAAAAAATTTAAAAGGAAAAAAATGGAAGTAAAACGTATAAAATAATTAAAGGTAAAACATTTGAGTTGAACGACATTGCACACGCACGCACATACACACAGGGAAAGAGAGAGAGAGAGAGAGATTAAATCGCACGACAGGAATCGCGTTAAATATTAATTTAAACGGAGGGGGGCAAAGAGGGTGGGGCAGGGAGGGAGGGAAAGAAAAAAAGGTGAATTTTACATCATCATCATCATACGTCACCAAAATTCTCGAAAATGAAATTTTCTATAGTGATCATCGAATCACGGAGCCATTTTTTTTTTTTTTTTTTTAAACTTTCTCGTAATTCCTTTTATTATTTTCCTTTTTTCCTTTTTTCCTTTTTTTGATAAATACGATTGAAATATATTAAAAACCTTCGAATCGTTCATCGACTTTTGTGCGTGTGTATACATAAAATGCGCAAACGCATTAATTTGCCTACGCTATAATTGCACGAAAAGGGCAAAACGGGTGGGTAAAATTCCACCGAGTTTTACCCCCCCATCCCCTCCCCCCTAACCCTACCCCCCAAAAAAAATAATTCAATGAAAAGATTTTTTCCTTTAAAAGTAATAAAAATAATTTAAAAAGGAAATCATTCGAATAAATTTTATTTTGATTGCCAAAAAAAAAAAAAAAAATTAATAATACATATTATTTATTTATTAATAATTATTATTATTAATATTATAAAAGTGACGACGTGAATTATATGCCAAAATAAATTAATTACGTAATGACGACGACAACATTATTATTATTATTATTATTTAATTTATTAAATTATTAACGTTTATTTATTTATTTAAAAAAAAAAAAAATGTATCGTTTTTCTTATTCGAAAATAATTTTTTCTTTTTCTTTTTTCATGTACGACGACAGGAAATTCGTTATCGATAGTTCCAAGTTTGTCTCGTAGGTGTCAGGTAAACCGCGCGCAGATGTCATAGGATCAACTTGCTGAATACGTTCCGGTTACAAGTTTCGCTGTTTCTTTTTGCTTAAACCGCCATGTTTTTTTTTTTATTTTTTCTCTATTGAACAAAAAAAATAGTAGTAGTAATAATAATAATAATAATAAATGTAACTTATTTAAAATTATTTAAGTGTGGACAACGCCCGTGATTAAAAATTTTTTATTTATTTATTTATTATAAAGTTTATTCGCGTGTGTTTGTTTTTCTTTTCTTTTCATTTTTTTTTTTTTTTTTTCAACTGTTTTGTGATGCTGTGATGCACAATGTATATGTAGTGAATCATCACCGATTTGGAAACAGTCCCGGGCGTATGTATCGATCCGAATTGCATGAATGGCCCGTTTATAACCCGCGATTTTTCTTATACGATTTTTTTAAAAAAAATATTATTTAACACACACACACACACGCAAAACCCCCCCCCAAAAAAAAAAATTAAAAAATATCGAATTAATTTTACAAAGCGCGTATCGCCATAACAAATTCGTAATAATTTGCCTAAATAAATTAATAAACGTTTGTTTTATTACATAACGTACGGGCCGTTAATCGTGATTATAATAATAATAATAATAATTTCGCATTCTTTTTTAATTATTATTATTATTTTATCAGTTGTTAAATTTAAAGTTTGTTTTTTTTTTCAATCTCGAGTGACCCAATTTAATAATAATAATAATAACAAACGGAATTGTTTTCATAATAAATTTACAAAAAATTTATTATTATAAAAATATATATAATAGAATTATTATATATATAAATTCACTATGGAAAGGAGAGAGAGAGAGAGAGAAAAGGGAAAAAAGTAGGGAAAAGTGAACAGGAGAGAGAGAGAGAGAGAGAGAGAGAAAAGGGGGAAAAAAGAAAGAGAGAGAGAGAGAGTAATAGGAATTGATTAACTGAAAGAAAGCAAACGTTTGGTTGTTGTTTGGTTGAAAATCAAAAAGAAAATTTTTTTAAAAATGTTTTTCTTTTTTTTTTAAATGTTCAGAAACCATGAAAAGAAAAAAAAAACAACGACGACATTTTTTTCTTTTTTTTAAAAAAACGTTTAATTAGTTTTTTTAAAATAAAAAAAAAAAAAATTTAATGGGAGTTATGTGAATAAAATGATTTTGTGTGAATTTTTTTTTTAATATAATGAGGAGGCTTTGTTTTATTATTAATTATATATATTTGTTTAAAATAATTTGTTATAAATATTAACAAATTAGTGATTTTTTTAATATAATTTTTCAAAAAATTTTTTTAGGGGTAAGTGGAAAAAAAATTTGTTTTGTTCTTGTAATGGCACCCATAAAATGAAAAATTTTTTTATCAATAATTTATATATTTATTTATATTAACGTACTTATTTATTTTTTTCTTTATTAATAATTGAATTTTTTTATTATTATTATTATGTACGAATCAAATCCGATGGAAAAAAGCAAAAAAAAAAAAAGGCAAAAGGAAAATGAAGGCGTGGGAGTTTTTCCAACTTGATTTATATAAAATCCACATAAAAATTTTGTTTTTTTTAAATTTTATTTTAAATCAATTATATATTTTGTTTTTTTGAATTTATATTATTATATTATATATTATAAATATATTATTATTTTACGTTACGGTTTATAAAAAAAAAAAAAAAAAGGAAAAAAAATTAATGTTAAGTCATCATCGTTAAGGGTGCGTCTAAACTCGTTCGTATTTTTTTAAATATTATTATTATTATTTAATAAATATATTATTTAT